AGTCACCATCCCTGGAGGCATTTAAAAGACAAGGAGATACTGTGCTGAGAGACATGGTCCAGTGGTGGATTTAGGGCTGGATCCATGGTTGGAGTCAATGATCTTAAAGGTCTTTTCCAACCAAAACCATTCTATTCTATGATTCTATACGGGGTTGTATTGGGCTGTAACGGGGCTGTGCTGGGCTGTATCAGGCTGTACTGGGGCTGTATCAGGCTGTACTGGGGCTGTTCCAGGCTGTACTGGGACTGTACTGGGCTGTATCAGGCTGTACCAGGGCTGTTCCGGACTGTACAGCAGGAGCTGGGCAGCCTGTGACAGACCACTGCGTGTAGACGAGGGTGCAGGTGCTGCTGGGTGTGCGCACAGGCAGAGGCAGGGGTGCTGAGCACAGCTGTCACCACACACACTGTCCCCTGCCACCCACCACTGACGAGGACAGAGCCCACTTGGCACAGAGGAGGGAATCCCCTCCCTGCAGAGGTGTTAATGACAGCTCCTCGTGGTCCACAGCCTAAACCCTCCAGCTCCATGGTGCTGATAAAGGATGTTCCCAGCCTGCTCTGAGGTGCGGTGACTTGGTTTGGGCCAGGGGACAGAGACCAGGACCCTGCAGGTTCCTGTCCCTGTGAACAGCAGCATCTGGAGGTGAGCGACCATCTCCAGGGCTGTTCTTCCCACATGGTTGGCATCACTCAAACACCTCCATGGCTTCACCTGGTCCCATGCCTAAATTCCATGGTGTGAAGGGATAAGCAGCAGGAGCCAGTGCAGGGCAGCGGTGAGCTGGGTGCCCCTACCAGAGCCACTGGGACTGGGTGGCTACTGATCCTGTGGGTTGCCCAAGGTCGTGGCGACACCCCAAGAGGACAGGGGTGAGGCTGATGGCATGGGCAAGGCAGGGGCTCTCTAATGTGCCCAGTCTGTACCACGTGGCTGTGAGGGCCAAGCTGGGCACCCATGCAGCAGAGGACGGCATCCACTGGGTGATTGGCTCCATCCTACAAGCTGCTCTGGGGAGGCAAGTTGTGGGGGAAAACGTCCAGGGCCCATCAGGGAGCAGGACTGGGGCCAGGCAGGCACCGAGGAGCTGAAGGAGCCTTGATCTGTGTCCTGGAAGGGGCTGCCCATCTCCTCTGGGACAGCCAAGAGGTGCCAGCACTGGTGGCCAGCAGATGAAGTCAGGGCTGTGCCCAGCGTGAAACCCAGTGACTGCCCCCTGCGCTGGGGTCTGGATGCTTCACCTCCACAGCACCAGCCCTTCACCCCGCCTGCTCATGCTCTTCCTGAGGTTCCCAGGGCCACCACGTGTGCACCTTGGGGTGCTGGCTTGGCATCTGCTGGGATGGGTAAGCTCCAGTGTACCACACGCTGGTACAGTGACATGAGGATGAGCAGGATGTGGCCTCTCTGTTGTCCTGCAAGGATGTGAGGAGCTGGCATTTCTCTTCCCCTGTCTCTTCCTTGTTTGCAAGGACACCTGGGTCGGGGGGACTTCCCATCCTGAGCTGCCATTTTTTTCTGAGGCTTGACCCTTCCCCACCAAATCTCCAGGCAAACGGGGCAGTGACCATGCTGTGGTGTTGCTGGCCCCATCTTCCTACTCCTACCCTTGTGCCAGCTGTGTCACAAGCCAATCTGTCCCCCAATTCAGCTTGAAGTCAATTCAAGACCGACCTCCCCCCCCAGATGCTACTTTGGGCAAATCAGCGCCTGTGCAGCCCCAGACCCCAAAAGAGAGTGTTGGAGGCACTGCCCCATCACCACAGTGTGTCCCCACCATAGCGTCACCCTTCACGTTTGGACCTGGCGAGACCCGCCTGGCTCGGCAAGTGGCACACGGAGTCACAGAATCACAGCATCAGGGAACGGTCAGGGCTGGAAGGGACCTCTGGAGTCACCCAGTCCAACCCCTGCCAGAGCAGCAGTTGCACAGGATGGCATCCAGGCGGGTTTTGAATGTCTCCAGAGAAGGAGACCCCACAGCCTCTCTGGGCAGCCTGGTCCAGGGCTCTGCCACCCGTGGTATAAAGCAGTATTTCCTCATGTTGAGCTTGAACTTCTTGTGATCCAGTTTGTACCCATTGCCTCTTGTTCTGTCACAGAGCACCACCGATAAGTCCCACACCCTGGTAAAGGGGCTGGGAAACCACAATTTACCACTCCGTAACCACTGCAGAATGCCCTTGACACCCCTGGCAGAGCAGATGCCAGGGCCTCCTTGACAGCCACCCTGTGCCCCTCCTCAGGAGCGGGGGGATGCGGCTGTGAGCGTGTCCTGGTGTGCAGCGGGGTGCACATCCTGGCCCGGGGCAGTGAAGCAAAAGCCGTGGAAGCAGCAGCTGCCCCAGCCCATCCCTGCTGATTGCCTGCATCCCCTCAGGCAGAGAAGCTGCCTGTGCCGCCCCTGTACAAGATGGGCTCTCCAGCACTGGGGCTGCAGCTGGAGCTCAACAAGAGCCATTTTCCTTTTATTAGGTTAACAAATAAATGCCCTGCTGGAGAGCAGGCAAGCTCTATTGATTCACTGCCTCCCCCGGGACTCATCAGTTTGCTGCATTTTAATATATATTAGGCAAGAAAAAGCCCTGCATCACCCAGTTCGACTGGGCCGGGGGCCCTCTGGAGCAATATCCCAGCAAAGGGATGGCCCAGAGAGATGGGGCTGCCCCAGTGCTCAGCACCCAGACCCTGCCTGGGGCACTGCGGTCTGTAAAGCACAACCCCTGGGCAGAACCATTCCCTGAGCTGCTGTTGGGTATCCACAGCACTGGGCAGCACTGGCGTGGGAACGCAGCAGGCACTGCGCTCCCCTGGCTAAGGCACCTCTGGCCTGTCCCCCGCAGGGCATGGGGGAAGGCTGTGGGCTGGATGAGAGCCTCCTGCGGGCCGGGCCGGGTGTGTGCCTGAGAGCAGCGTTTGGAGATCCCTGAAGTGACACAAATTGTGCCGCAGTGGCCAGCTCTCCTCGTGGCTGGAGCCAGGGCTGCTGCACTGACCTGGAGATGCTCTCACACCTCTGCCCCATTCCCAGCTGGAAGAGTGAGCCAAGGAGCCTCCAGGTCTCTGCTGTGTGCCCGCCTGCTGCCCCAGCCCAAGGCAGATCTGCTCAGGCCCCTTGCCCTCCTCCCCACAGGACAGGCTTGGCTGCAAGCAGGAGGAACGGGCTTCAGCAGAGACATAAGGATGCCTGGTCCAGCTGATGAGACACCAGGAGACCCCCAGAGCTTGGCATCCTCAAAATGGCTGGTTGAGGCCCGAGCACATGGGAGTAGCGACAGACCTCCCTCAGCATGGGGACTGCCACATGAACCACTGCCAGCTCTGGTTAAATGTGGTCTCGCATTTGCAGCCCCCTCCGCGGGCTGGTCTGGGCAGCGAGCAGCCGTGGGCACAGGCTGTGCAGGCAGGGTGGCAGAGGACGGAGGGGACAGAGGGATGCACAGAGTCACACAGCAGGAACACTTTAATAACCTGTCCAGCTCTTGTAAGACCCTGCTGGCATCCTGGACACCTAACCCCAAAATCCTCCTGCGGCTGGACAGAGCCCATCGGGACCCCAGGCAGAGGGGGAGCAGTGCAGCATTGCTCCAGTAACCCCTGCAAGCTCCTGAAGGGACCGTGCCCACTGAGAGGCATTTCACAGGCAAGTGGTAGCGCTGGTCTTTTGGGAGGGGGTGGCACGGAGCCCTGGGAAGCTGGCTGGTGATGCGGCCAAGGTGTCCTGGGGGGCAGAGCCAGGTTTTGTGGCCTGTGGTGTTTCTCTTCCCTTTAGCAGCTCCACGGCTGCTTTCTCCACTTCATCCACCTCCATCTGGCTGCTGGCTGCCATCTCGTCCCTGGTCACTGCTATGAAGGATGGGTCATGGGCCAGAGCCGTAAGGCCCCCGGAGATCAAAGCCTGCAGCAGAGGATGGGGTCACAGCACAAAGTGAGCTCAGTCTGGAGAAGCATACCTGGCTGCAGGCAGCCCACCCTCACCTCCTTTCCTTGCTGCTCTCTGCACTGCACAGACTTCTGCTTGCCCTCGCAGCCAAGCTTTGCCCTTCAGCCTCATCACTTGGCACAAACATGGGGCCCTGCGAGCCCCTTTCACTCCCTGGCAGCCCTGCCTTTCCTCTGCCAGGCTGCACCCCTGCCTTACCTCCCGAATGAGGAAGGTGATGGCGGGGGTGGAGGATGTGCTTGGGTCACTGCTTGCACCCTGCTGCTGTTCTGATCCGGTTGCCGTTGCCATTCCCATCACTGTGCCGTCCTCTTGGGGCACCTGGGTGAGAGGAGCAAAGAGCTGCGGGCTGGGCTTGGGCAATGCCCGTGGAAGATCTCTGCCCCATGCTAATGCGGGGGTTGCAGGGGCTGTTCCCTGCCTGGACATGCAGTCGCACCCTGCTGGAGCTCCTGGGCCCAGGGCACGGCCCCAGTGGGACCAGCAGGGCCATGTGGGTAGAGAGAGCTGGGAGCCAGCCCTTATCTCCTGCCAGGTGATGAGGCACCGTGGCCAGCCCAGGGCAGCCAGCAGAGTGTGGGGATAAACCTGATGCATCCCTTTTCTCTGCCCTGGCTCTGGAGACAGCCGGGAACCAGAGACGCTGCTTGGAGCTGTCCCAGCTTGGATGAGCGCCCTGTGCCTGCTGCAGCAGTGGGTGGAGGCCTTGCTCCTTCCCACAGCTGATCAGAAAGGAAAGCTCCAGCAAAGCCCCAGGGCAGGGAGCCCTAGAGACCAGCTCCTCCCCAGCACGGCTGTGACAGCCTCTCCCAGGAGGGGAGCAGGGCTCACCCATGTCCCCGCAATGCTGACTCTGGACATACACTGGCTCCTTTACCTCCTGGGGGTGAAGGTGCAGTCCTGATGATGGGTGGCCCTCAGAGGTGGCCCCTTGCCTCCTGCTCAGCCTCCGTCGCAGCCTCTCCATGGGTAAGGGGTGACTTTGCTCTAGGAGAGGGAAAGGTGGGGACATCAGACGGGCACAAGAGCACTACTGCTACCCATAGCTGGGAATGGATTACCTAAACTGGGGGAACCAAAGGGTTTAGGAGTTAGGACCAACGGAAGGCCCAGCACCTGCCCCCTGCCCTGTGCTGGCTCCCCACTCGTGGCTGGGAAGGAGAAGTCCCTGCTCATGGTCCTGTGGCCCTGCTGCCAGTCCTCCCCCAGCCCAAGGCACTGGCTCCATGCTCCGTCCCCCCAGAGAGTGGGAAGGTGAAAGGAGGGTCTTCTGGAGCTCCCTAGACAGATCCCACCATGCTCAGGGCTCTCAGCTGGCCTCCAAGCTGTTGGAGTCTGCATCTCCTCCTCCTGCATGCCAGTGTCAGCTCCTTTCCCCTACCCTGGCCCTGGAGCTGGTCCAGGTCCCCCAGAAGAAGAAGGATGCCGAGACTCACCCTGCGCGGGACGCCTGGGTGCTGCTGGCACCGTCTTCCTCAGCACCTCGTCCTCATACACCATCCTGGCAAGGGCAGGCAGGTGGGTCAGCCTGAGCAGGGACCACCCAAGGGCACAGCCCTCCCCACCCAAGGAATGCAGCCGAGGGCAGACCAGGAGGGGCACCTGGGGTGCATGAACAGGGTGGAGGGCCAAGAAGAAGGAGGTGGTGGCCCCTACCTGGGCCCTGGGACTCTGAGATTGGTGGAGCAGGGGAAAGGGACATTTCTGCCAGCCCTGGAGCCCTGCTGTCCACCTCAGCCCTCGCAGCATCGAGATGGAGGAGTGAGGAGGACATGAAAGGCGCATAGGGAGTCACACACTGACATGCAGAGCCACACACCAGCCCTGGAGCCACCCTGCATGTTCTGGGGACATCTCTGGGTGTGTCAGGCCCCACCAGTGCCAGGTCCCACCCTGTCCCCTTGCCTGGGCCCTGTCTCACACCCCAGGGGCTGAATTTCTGCACAGAGCTGCTGTGTCCACGGAGCCACTTCCACTGCTCGATTCCTCCCCCAGTCTGCAGGGACCTCACTGCTGCACCTCAGCCACTTCGCCAGGCCTTACCCATCCATGAAGAGCCCCTGGGCAAGGCCAACGTGCAGCCGGCCACCAGCACAACCCCGCTGGGAGCCACCGGGCCGAGCTCTGCCCCTCCTCACCTGCCCACGCCAGGCTCGCCAGCCCTTACCCCTCCCGCCAGTCCAGGATCGTG